AAACTGGACCCCGCGATCGTATTTCGCATGGATTCATGGTGCAAAGCGTGGATCCCGGCGCGAAACTGCCATGAATCCATGCGAATACGATCGCGGGATCCAGTTTCGAGCGGAATATCTCAGCCATTAGAGCACTACCTGCGCTGCCGCTTGGACAATGCCTTACAAGGGAGGTGTTTTCGGTCGAAGTGGCCTTTTCATATGGAATTGATACGACTGTAAAAAGCATCAAACGCTGATTCCAAATCTGTCTTCATTATCTGCCGAGCGCTTCTAGACGTCGAGTTATAAGCGTTTTTTGAGTTGAGAAGTTAAATGCATAATTAGGAATTATTCGTCAGATTTGCTCAATGGTCCAATGTTGATTATCAAAGCACTATATTCAAACAACACCTTCTATCTAAAGCACTCATACTCAACACTGCTCTATTTGTGCGCTGAGAAGACCGCAAAATTTTATTTCACTTAGATTATGCGTTCATTTTTCTCACCAAGAAAATATTCATAACTCGACGTCTAGAGGCGCTCGGCAGATAGCGAAGACAGATTTGGAATCAGCGTTTGATGCTCTTTATAGCCATTTCAAATTCATGTGAAAAGGCCACTTCGACCGAAAACACCTCCCTTGCTAGTTAGTGCCCCAAAAGTACTTTCCATGTAAAATCCCCATAGGTCCAGATCTGACTGGACGCTGCTTTTAAACGCAAATCACAAACATTCAAGCAGCTATCCTAGATTTGCTCTATTGGTACCATACCTACTTTTTCTCTGAACTTTGCAACGAAATTCAAACAATAGCGGAGCTTTGAGCAGGTTGACGGATGTCAGTTACCGAGAAGCAACTAGAAGAGCTCGTAAATAACTATTTGATTAAAACTATAAGTTGCCCCAAGTGTAAATTCTTTTTCCAAATAAAACAAGCGGTTTTTGTTTTTCTAACAAGCTCAGGTATCATTCGATACAGCGAAGGAAGCTCTACAAGTATCATCAAAGATCCACCTAAGTTGTAATCCAGATGAAGATCAGCCAAGGGCGAGAAAAATCTTACCACCTAAAAAATTGTAATTTTGCGGAAAAAATCCTACGACCCTCCGAATTTGTTATCACACATTATACACGAAATAGTGCTCAAAAATATGCCTTTACTGTTTTTTGCATAGCAAGAGAGGAAAAAATAGTCTAAAAGCGGGAAACTCCGCCCCCCAACTCCTCGTATACATGTCATTTTTTACAACAGAAAAAAAGTAAGCATAACCTTGAAACTTCATTTTTGTATGCGCCCTTTGATCGAGAAACACCAAATCTAACATACGAAAGCCAGAGAAAAGTGATTTTTTGCGTTTTTGGGCTGTTTTAATTACTCATTTCTGAGTTCCTGAAGAAATCCATTTACCCTATGTTCAAGTGTGTAGGCCGCGGTGTGGTCCTAGCTTACATCGATCAGCCCGATTTAAAGGACCTCGCAACCAAAGGACCCTACCGCGTGCTGCTATTGCCTGAAAGAATCGTGCGCCATAAGGATCGCTTCTCGAAACACAATGAAGCATCTGAGCAGCTTGTTTGAAAATTTTAAAAAGTGCGGCTTGTACACCTGAAAATAGGTTAATACGTTTTTGCGTACCACTATGTGTCTACTATACTTGGGTCCGAATCGAATAGAAATTCTATCATTCGAATAAGACATTCGAATATATTCGCATTCGAAAATCAAAATTCGGAGTTTTTCCATTTTCGAATAAAATTCGAAACTTGAATAATCAAAAAACGGGATTTTGAATGAAATTCAAAAACTCGAATAATCAAAAAACGAGGTTTCGAATAAATTTTATTCGAATGTTCATTCGAATTCGTATGCGAATGAACTCCGTACTCAGATTCGAGTTTGTTGCAGAGCCAACTGCAATATTAAGCTCGCTTTTAGTAGCGGTCCGAGAGCCCCCCCCCCTCGAGAATGGATTGCAAAATTTTTGAAAGCTACTTAGTTTTAAAAAATGTGCAAGTGACTTGTTTATACTGATATAATCAAAATAATATTTCGAATTTTTTGAAAATTTAAATTAGCGCTCCAATGCATCTTTTTGCAATCATGATGACCTTTAAACTTTTTTTCGGTCAATGAGATGGTTCGCAGCTATTGACACCAAACCAGCAAAAAAACAGCTCAAATTCAAGCTCATGTTCAGAGTTCATACACTGGAAATGTGTTGGCATGCCTGTTTCTTTTTCTTTGCATTGCTCATGCTTTAGGTACGCAAAGGTCCACACTAGTGAGCACTCTTGCTTGTAAAACTCATGCTGCACCAGTGCCTCTATTCTTTACGAAAATTTTTGCGAATTGGTGTATTCTGAGTAAACGACTTCGCAGCTGTAGTGAAGGATTAGACGATTGTTAAATTTTCTAATCATATCACTTTGCAATGAAGTTTTGTTCAGTAAATAGTATATGATAGTTCTGTTTTCACAGTGCATTCAAGATTTTCACAGAGGCTTGCAGGCACTTTAACACATGACCTCTTGACACACCATGTGTGTCAAGTTATGACTACCACGTGGAACCGCTTGACACACATGTGTGTCAAGGCTCGAGCTTCGTTAAAATAACGACTAGGCTAGTACAAACTCATTCTAAAAGTTTTCTTTTGCTCTTAATCTGGAAATGACTTCTATCTTCTTTATCAGCCCTTCGCAGCTACTGTAAGTATAGTGTAGATGGCAGTATGCGCGATTTTATTTGAAAAATGCTCACTGGTCCGTGGAAGGTCTCGGTCCCAAGAGGCAGACATCAAAAATTTGCGTGGTCGTCAAAGTGTTAACACCGGGAGCTATCAGCCGTCAACTATGGTAAAGCCGGACGAAAAAGGTCCTGAAAAATGCGAGCTTTGATTATGACAGGCCCCGCACATACTTCACGCCACAGTCGTACGCAATTTGTCAGTTACAAGATGCTAGCTACGGGTGGAAGTTGGTACAGGGGGAAGGGAGGGTGCTGATTATGAATAAGTTTTATTTTTGCCGATTTCACCGATTTTTGGAAAATCTGAAAGTACTGATTATGAATGGATCGGAATGAATATGAATATGAGTGTGCTGATTATGAAAGGACCGGCTTTAGCCGAGTAGCTCAGCAAGTTTTAGATCTGGTTGTTCTATTTATTCGTTCAGTCATTCAAATATTCATTCGAAATTCGACTCCTAATGTTCGAATATAATCGTTATTCATTCATTCGATATTTCTGATTTTCCGATTTTATTCGGGATATTCATTCGAGAATTTTCAAATCTCGAATTTATTCGATATTCCTTCATTCGAGATTTTTTATTTTCGAATTTATGCGATATTCGTTTATTCGAAATTTTCATTTTCGAATTTATTCGATATTCATTCATTCGATGGAAAATTTCGAATTTACCCAAGTATAGTGTCTACCATAAACAGCATCTGGAAATCTCTAGGAATCTTGAAGGAGATCACCTTTATAGGTGAAAAAATTTGACTTTTGGCTCCGAATTTTACTTGAATTCCTATAGGCAGATCGTCTGGTCATTTTCTAGAGTTTGCTTCGCTTTGTCAATGTACCTCAAAGGCAGTGTCCATGCAAAAAGTCGATTTCGAGATTTTGTGCTTACCTGGGCCTATTCGCTATGCTGAATCCGAAAATCAACACTGCTCTAACGGAGGAGGGAAATTGTAGGTGGGCGGGGCTGTTCACATAGTGGCATCACTCTCCCAGCTTCAGGAGCGATCTTCTCGGTTCCGCTAATCGTCATAACATCACCACCAGCCAAGTGCGAAACGCATGTCATAAAAACGGAAACAAGAAGATCGCTCCTAAAGCCTGGGAGACTGACGTCACGGTGTGAACGGTCCCGCCCACCTCCGATTTTCCTCCTGCGTTTCCCTCCTTTTTTGGCGTTTCCGCGCCCTCCAATGTGGTTTATCGGATTCAGCATGGCGAATCGACTATGGTAAGCACAAAATCTCAGCCTCGACTTTTTGCTTGGACACTGCCTTTAACTCTGCTTCAGAAACTGAAACAGTTTAATGTAGGAAAGGAGTTTACTTCTGGGGCCGTAATATTGGGTAGTCAAGGATATAATGTCGTTTTTTTCGGTTTTTTTGGTAAAATTGATACTACTCCAGAACTAAAACACATTTGAGGCCAGGTTTCGATGGTTGAAGTTACGAAGCTCTGTAGTATACAAAAGCATATGTGGGAGGGGCCCAGTACTGGAGCGGAGTCTGCCATTTTCTATTTTTCAGTTTCTTCTTGGTTTCTGAGCATGGAAAAAATCTAGCAAGTGTATTTAACGATAACTGCATGTGTTTTTCATATGCAAGAGCAAGTGAGGGATTTGCAGGATTTTCAAAGCGAAAATCCAATTTTTGGCATTACGAGTTGCCCCTACGTTTTGGCTGTGAACTTTGCGCAAACAACAAGTTCTGCCAATGTTCGGAGGTCCTCTTGTAGAGCTTCCTCTACTCTATCGAGTGGTATCCCTCGCACACTTTTTTGGATTTATCTTATGGCTTTGCTATAAAAAACGACATTATCTTCTTCACAACCTAATCCAACGGTAAATTTCCTTGCTCTCAACAAGCTTTAGTTCGCAAAAAGTTTTGGTTTTGAAGATAGCTGAGTGGAGAGAGCTATGTCTAGACATCGGAATAGTCAATTCAATATGCCCAAACTTGGACATGTGTTTACTCATCGAAAAAGCATGAAATTTACTAACAAAAAAATCTTATGATTCAACCAATATGGACGTAAACTATGAGTCATAACTAGGCAACTGAGCCTCTTTATCAATAGCACTGGCACGGTCTTTTGACGTTATAAGTACACACTAGTAGCTTAGAAAATTCATTGTGTCAGCTTAACTTCTGGTCAGCGGACACTAAATTATTTCCAATAGTCACTGGCTTCTAATTTGTCTTATTTTCGAAAACAAAATTGTTTTTTGGATGTTATGAAGTTTTAATAAGCTAAATATTGCGTTTCCAGGTCTGCTAAAGGCTACTTCCAGACAAATATGGGATACGGCATAGAGTTTAGGTGAGAAGAATTCAACTACTTTACTGTTACTTTTTTTGTAAAAAATTTGAGTTTACAATAAACTTTTTAACAACTAATTATAGCTTTTCTTAAATGCTTAAGCAATTTTTTGAACGTTATGCTAAAATATGGACTGCTTCTTTTGTTTGGAAAGGAAGGCTCAAAAAGACAAAGTTTTATCACAAGTCGAAAGTAGATAAATCAGAAGTAAAGCATATTGAGGGACCAAACGTATTTTCAACATTTTAACGCGCAATTTTCACCAAAAGATTTGCGACATAAACTAGGTGAAGTAGTTTCTAGAGTGAAAATGCAATCTCAAAAACACATACAGCATCAGTTAATACCAATAAAAATCGAATTAACATTAGCAACAATAAAAATTCTGTTTAATCTCTCGATGTCTTTAACTTCCAAATTCTTCTTTAACGAAAAATTGATAATGATGAGTTTTACGCCTTCTTGAAGTCCAAACAAAAAAAAACACAATAAAAAAAACATCAATAAAAGTTAAATGCTCTTATTCTACTTCCGCAAGAAAAAAGTGGACTAAAAAAATTTTGCGCAGGTTTTTTTCTCGAATGAATGGTGTTGAATGAATGGTGTTTTTTGTAACTCGATACTTTTCCGTTTATCTGCTGAACTTCTTTAAGCATGTACCATATACATATATTCTTATATATACAGCTGAATATCTGTATGTACGTATGTATGCATGTATGTACGTATGTTGTACGTATGTACGTGTCCCGAGAAGAAGTTTTTATTTCTGAACCGATCCAAACCAAACTTTGCACACATACACTTCGGCGAGGGGCGAGTGTCATATGCTACTTTTCGTTATCGATTGATATAGAATTTATTGTTTTTTATTGATTTTTTGTAAGGTTTGACCTGCGAGGCTGGGAATTGGTACAGGGGGGACTCGAGCATGCTGATCAAACACAATATCAGTTTTTAGAATTATCGTTGCTTTTATCGATTTTTCGATTTTTTGCAAAGTTTGAGCTACGGGGCTGTGAATTGGCACAGCGGGGAGGGGGGGATGAGTGGGTATTGCTGATTACTTACACAGCGGGAATAGAGAAAATTGGCAAGTGGGCACAAGGAAAGGTTGTACAGAAATAGGAATGGGACCAGGGTAAAGCGTGTGATGCGACTATCGCAACGAGGGGTCAAAAAGTGGACACCTAAGGGGGAGGGGGTCGTAAGAGTAACTATTTTGTCTGAAGACCGTAAGTTCAGGAGAAGATAAAAATCAGATAATTTGCATGTTCTTTACAATAAATTTATAAAAAAGTAGAAATCAGAATAATAAAGATAAAATTTTCGAAGAAATTCAAAAAAAAAACATTTCCAAGAACTTAAAACACTTTTGGAGGATGTACGAACAAAAATTCTAAATATGCCAACTGGCCTAGAAATCTTGCTTCCGAAGCCTTCTCGAAGTTCTTTACCGACGATGACCACTAATAATTTTTTAAACCATTTTGTAGTGTATCTCACGCGCCCATGCAAATTTTTTGTACTTTGGAGCGCTCTGATACATTTGTGCAATACTCTGGCCTTATTTCGTAAGCGTGGATTTTTATAATTTTATTTATGGCGACAAAACTGAAAGGGGGTCGTATCTGGGTCGCATATGAATTTCGGGAGATATCTATGCTTGTTGACTGCAATTGCGACCCGAATCATAAGTAGTTATTTTTCTCTGAACCTATAATTTAAGCTGAGGATCATTGGCAAGCTTCTTTTGAGATTGACATTCGTTTATTCAAAAGCAATGGGGGTGGGGTAGATGTGTGTGAATGGATGGGCACCTTCAAGGGGGGGGTCGAAATGAGAGTCCCGATCGCATCAACATGCTTGACCCTGAATGGGGACTTTTATCATAATGTTTTGACAGGGCTGGGCGGAACCGGGTAAGCCAGCTATTGTAATTTATTTATTTTAGCGATGAATCCATACGTTCGCGATTCGTCTCGAAGGTTTTCGGCCTAGTAACTATAATGGTAAGATAGACAAATTTTCTTTTTTTTTACATTAATTATCGTAATTTTCAGTTTATTATCGTAGCAGTCACGTGTGCCATGCCATTCATTTTTCCAACATTTATGGATTGGACTCAGCAAAATAAAATTTTCATGATTGTTGCTTGGTAAGTTTAGTAATTTCAATTTTCCTATCAAAAATGCGATTCTTCAAGTTTACATTGGTTTGATGACAACCATCAAAAAGTTGAGCGAAAAGCAAACAAATAAGTAAATTGTCATGGGTCCAGTTTTCTCTTTGGAAAATTTGGGCTGCTCTTCTACCCTCGCCAATTTTACTTTTCACACAAATTTAGCCACTATCCTCGAGTCAATCGTATTTGATGTGTGAGCGTGCAGACTATGCGCGGTAATCGACGTCTACCTTGCTATAACTCTTCAGCAAAACCTTTTTCAGCGTAAATATCTGTAGAAAAGTGTACTAATACACATCCAAAATTGAATGCACAAGGAAACAAGAAACGCCGGAAATGAGCAGGTTATATCTTAAAGCTCGTCAAGTAGCGCGCACGGTGTGCAATGCGCACATCACAAATGACTCGACGATATGTGTACATGAAACATATCGTCTCCAATTATCTTATTTTAGTTGTGTTTATGCCGTAATGGCAATAGTCTTAGCATGCTGCACTTCCGTTCGAAGATCGTTTCCTCTAAACATAATCGTTTTGGGTATATTTGTAAGTTTGTCTTCAACGCTTCGTTCATACAAAATCAAAATTTTGTGCGATTGCAGACTTTGGCAAGTGGTTGCATGACAATGGCCGTAACTGCGACCTATAATGTACAGTCTGTATTATTAGCATTTTGTATCACAACGGGTGTATCAGCTGCTATAGCAATATTTGCAATAACTACAAAAAGGGATATAACCTCGTAAGCTCTTCTAGAATTTTTTGGGGTTTCGCTATATATCAGCATCTCGCACTGCGGAAGAATGCGACTCCGTCGCATTTCAAACATGGTGTCCGGGCTATATCTAACCCCTTTCGATTAGTGCCTGTCCTGAATGTAGGCCCCAGAAGAGGAGCATATGCGTTGGTCCGGTCTTCTAAAGCTGTCTCTGAATGGAGATATTGGGCCTGGAACAGCCGAAGTGCTATCAAACCCCGCTCAGACCCTTCAAGCTCCGCCCACCCATTTAATGAAGCCGTCCACGCCCTCAAAGCAGGGTCTAGTAATCAGGTTTTTTGGGGTTTTGGACAGTTTGAAGTTCATAACTAATCAGGGCCACAGAAAGGCCCCAGGATGGCATAAACATGGGGAAAAAATTTTGGGTGGACGCTACCTTCACACTTCGCTACACCGCATTCATTTTAAAAAACCTTTGAAATGGTGTCCGGGCTGAATTTCGGCTAATGCACTCTTTTTTGCTGATTTTCAATTGATTATTCTTATCTGACAAAGAGTCTTCCCCTGAGACTGGTTCTAAATGAGCTTAAATATCGTCATAACCGTCTTTCCTTTCTGCGGGTGTCTTTCGAAAGCAGCGCTCAGGCAAATTCTGCGCTCTCCCGATTAGTAACTAGTTTTCAAGAAGGTCCTAGGAGTAAGACATCTGTGTTGGTCCGATGCTCCAATGCGTTCTCTGAATTAGCAAAATGGAACTGGAGCCCGCGAAAGTGCTACCAAGCCACGCCCATCTTGTCAAGCTCCGCCCACCCAGGAACTCAAAGCTGTTTGCGCCGCTAGAAGAGAGAGTCCCAGAAAACGAATTTTTGGGGGTTTTTCATCCCTCTGCTTTTTTATGATTATAGTCAGGGCCGGGGAAAGGCCCTATAAATGACTGAAACTGGAAGGCGTCTGAGTAAATGCTGCCTTTGACCCAGGTAGAAGGAGAAAGCAATAGAATGCGAAGGCGACATAGTGTTCTTACGCGAGGTCTAGTTCCGAATTATTGGAGTCCCAAAAGAAACTCTATTTTCAAATAAATTGAGCTGTTTTGCTTCCTAACAAACTTAGGATGTCATTCGATAGAGCGAAAGCTACAAAAGATCACCAAAGAACCACTTAACATAATTCGGGCAAAATTTGGAGCCAAAAATCAAAATTTTCAGCCACCCTGAAAACCAGATCTCCTCCCAGAAAATTCCTGCGGACTTCCAACTTGGTCATTATGTAAAAGACATACATATGGTAGTGTCCAAAAATGTATTTGGTGTGATTATTCCAGGGCTTAAAATTGAGAAACAAAGATGGTTCCAAAATGCTAAAATGCCATTTTCTCTACAAGAGCACACACAGGGGTTAAGTTTTAGAATTATGCTGAGTAAGGTGTGGCGTAGTTTGCCATTTTTGGACTACCTTTTTTTCTCGCTTGCTATGCGCGAAAAAAAATGTGGTAAAGGCATATTTGAGTACTATCTGTATAATGACCAAGTTGGAGGTCCATAAGATTTTTCCTCGCGAAAATCCATTTTTAAATGACGAAATTTTTTTTCGATTTTGGCTGCAAACTTTATATGGAATGCGACTTAGGCAGACCTTGGTGGTTATTTTGTAGGGCTCGATCTGCTCTATAAATGATGCCCTAAGTTTACTAGGATTTAAAAAAGCTTGAATTATTTAAAAAAGGAGTTTACCCTTTTGGACAGCTGATAGCCCTAATAAAGTGAATTACGATTTTAGCTTACTGGCTCTTCATTGACAGTTTTTCAGATGTTTGGGTATCGCGTGCATTCTCGGCGTGACGTTATTCTTCTTTGGATTGGTCGCTGCAATCGCAAGTATATTCTTTCATGTGAAATTTCTCTACACTGTTTACGCTGCTCTTGGCGCATTACTTGCAATGCTTTATTTAGCTATTGATATACAGGTAAAATTCTAAAACTTACTGATTTTCCCACTCTTTTCTACAAATTTCCAAGATGATCTACCTACTTATTTCAGATGGTCATGGGCGGAAAACGTTATGAAATATCCCCCGAAGAGTACATTTTCGCAGCGATGCAGATATTTTTGGATATTCTCAATATTTTCATGTTTATTTTGCAATTGTTCAAAGAATAATAAAGAAGGAGTTAAACTTTATAGATTAATTATTTTGATCAAATTTTATTACAATAAGCGACTGGTGAGCATGATTTAGGCTCTGATAAATTTTTAGTACTCAAAGAAAACTTTTCTCCCTTATTGAGGGAGAGAGAGGAAGTACCTTTCTTCTTATTTACGAGAATGTCTGAAAAATTCCGTAATTTCGCAGAACATCTGCCTGGGCTACAGTTGTAGCGGTGGAATCCGGCCAAAATTGCGGGATTCGCGGGATTTTGTTGTAACTTCTTCTAGAACAACTTTATTTGGAATTTGCAAAAAGATTTGGCTTCAGCTTGATGAGACGAATCTTTCAGTATACATTATGCCCGTTTACCGTGCTGCATTGTATTGTATCGGCATGTGTTATGAGATTATCAGCATGTATTGTTGCTCATATGAACAAAATTTGAAACAAAGTAGCATCATATGTCTACCGTATCACCATGGATCGCGAAAGATTTGTCTCATCAAGCTGAAATCAGATTTTCTTGCAGATTCTAAATAATATTGTTTTAAAAGAAGATATAACTAAATCTCGCAAATCCCGCAATTTTGGCCGAATTCCACGCTACAAGTTTACTGTAATTTTGCTCTTCAAGCTTGCTTGATCAAAATAATATTCACAACTGCATGCTGGGTATCAGCTCCAACATTTAAGTGATATGTTTCTTTAGGGAATTGAGAGAAAAAGCTCATGGGATATACATTTCAAACGAGTAAGGTGAATATTCCCATAAATTTTCCTTCCAAAAATAACCGTGCTAAAAATTTTCTTGCTGTTTTTTCATATAAAACCGCCGCTTATTCTTGATCAAATTCATGATATTGCCTTCTCTGTAGAGGTGTTTCGTAGAAAACAATGACGTAGAAGTTTCAACTGAACACATTACTTCCTTAAAGTGAAAAATAAACCTTAAGACTAATGTCACATTAGCACAAGTTGAGAACACAACACATCACAACTTTTGTAGTTCAGTCCCTTGAATAAAGTGAAAATTGTGGTAAAGAGCGAGGAGAAACATATATTTGTAAAGAAGTTGCAGAATCCAAAGTTGAATTGTCTGTTAAGGCATGAAAGCGGATTGAGTTTATCTTTCAAGCATTCTTATAGTGGCAGGAGCTGAAGTAAGAACATCTTTTGATATTTTGCAATGACTTAAACACTGTCTTCAGCCACATTGTCCAGAAAAACTCATGACTGATGCCTAGTGATTCCGTGAAATCAATGCGGGAGACCTCTAAAGAACTTGGTGACTCATTAGCTAAGAAATTTATTTTCAAATTCTTACTTGGATCGTACTCCTTACTAACGGACCAATCAGCTTCGAGCAGTGTACTTCGCTAAGATTAGTGTTACTACGAATGAACTGTGCAAGACGAAGCTTCTCTACTAAATAGTTTTGATTAAGCAACACGGCAGAGTTTACAATGTCAAGTGAACCATGACTCCTATTCGTGCAATTCAATCGTAATTTCGCAAAAAGGCCTCTTCAGCTCAAAGACCACAAGTTTTTCTCTTAAACCGTTAATCAAAGCAAAAATCCGCGTTATATTGTAGTTAACGTAATCCAATCTGCTCAGTTAAAATAGGATTTTGGCGAAGCCGCTCTTTTGCACACGCAGATTTAGGAACGAACTGTTGAAAGGTAAAATACTTTTACTTGGATTTAAAAAACTACGATTTTACAATCAAGTGCAGGACTTACATAGGGCCCACATAATAATAAGAAATCTTGACGTTGAGACGTCAGTAATTCTAATGAACTCCGCGTTTGAATGAATTTGTGGAAAGTGTCATTTTCCTTTAGCAAGTTCTAGTTCACCAGATCTTAGATCAAGAAAATTATGTTTTTCAAAACTGTCAGTTCCATGATGGCATTTGATGGCGAAGCTGGTAGATAAGAGACTCTAACCGTGATTCTTTAAAATTTGACCGCTAAAAATGCTAAAAAGCCCCCAACAAACTTTGATTTGATCAATTGTGGTAAAGACTTATCGGAAGTATCTACGATTAGTTAGGTTTTCGAGTTTTTCAAACCACAATCTAAATTACCTATAAAATTTACATTAGGCAATGATAAACAAAATGGTAAAAAGAAACATTTGTGAAATTGTTTGAGAAGTGTCGTAGTTCTCCCTCCTCCTGCTTGAAAAGTATTTCGCAACAGCTTCTTCACTTCTTCGTTTCCTTCCATCCATTCATTTTACAGAATTTGCGACATCTGCAAAAGATCCTGCACGATTACAGCTGTGCTGAAAAAGGTTTTTGGTAGCATCTGTGGTGCTGAACGCTCGTCGTGCCTTGCAGTGACTACCGCCTTCAAAATTCCCACGATTTACTGGAATTTTTCATGGTTAGGGGAACCTTAGGTCATGCGATTTTTGAAGGATTGTGTCAGAGGTCCAACGCCCTTATTCTTCTTGATCCTTTTTCTGTGTCCTCAGATCAGCCATCCATGGTCCTTATCGTTCCAAGCACCCACCTGGTTACGACCCGGGGCTATAGAGGCGGTATTCCCACAAGGAAATCTTATCACAACCACTGCGTTCAAAGCAGCTCCGCCCTCTTACTGACTTCCCATTAGTTTCCGACTTGTGATTGGGCGCACTTGAATGATCCTCATCCTTCTGTAAACATGTCTTTCAACGATGCTGGTCTGAAGTTTGTTCCTTTCAACTCCTTTTTTGTCATTTCTAGAAAGTTCAAATGGTGACTCTTGATCTATGGATTCTTTCGGACTTAGGATCGATCGCTCTCTGTCACTTTTGCCTAATTCTTCTTCCTGACATACATGCCTAAAGCAGTAAAATGTGTTAATTTTCTTAGAGCAATGTTTCACTCACTTGTTAGGCTTTTATGTTAACATTAATGCAAATTTAAAAAGAATTATGATCTCGAAAAGAAATGATGATTAAGCTCCGTAATTTGGAATCTTGCTTTCCGCCATTTTCCACAATTGCTAGCATAGTTCCAGGATAATTTCTTCCATATCATGGTATTTATCTGCCTCAAAATATTTTCTTCTTAATTTTTTGCTCTCACGTAAAATTCGTGCAAGCCTCATTGGAATCGTATAACTTTCACAGCATCAACTCATCCCTTCAGTTCCTTCTGCTTTGTCTTTTCTTTTCCTATTTGTTTCATCAAGTAATTGTTAACTTGGCGTAACCAAGGGGAGTTTAAGTCATAAGGTTTTTGATCTGAAATGTGTAATCTATAGGTGGCAAGTAATTTTCTACTACTAAGAATTCCATGATATCATTTAATTTTCGTACCTCACACCCAAACGAAAAGTGATGATTTATTTTGAACAACCAAAAAACAGCTTCATTCTTGATTCACTAAATGATTTCGGCTGGCAAGAAGGAAAAACTGTGAAATTTCTGTCTTTGAAATAACTAACTGCTTCTTTGCTTTGCGAAACATGTTAGTCATTCGCTACTGGCACGGTTGATTCAAAAAGCCATGGGATGGCGAAGACTAAATTCAGGGACAGGCATTTTAGCAATGGTTGCCCCATCAATCACTTTGCGTAAGTAACTATAATAATATAGATTTGTAAAGGTTGAAACTCTGAAAATTAACTATTTCAAAGAAAAAGCGAAATAACTTCAAAATAGAAGTAGATTTTACACTGGTTTGGTACTATACTTCGAGCAATTACATTACTGATTTTCTTGTCTTGAATAGATGGACCATAACTTTTTCTAAATCAACTAAACATATGAAACCGCTTTTAGGGGGGCGCATCCTAACTACAATGACTTTCCATAGGCCTCTGACTATCATTGACTCTGAAGTGGATTGCATTTACAACCCACCGCCAGCCAAATCCTGACACCTGGCAATGGCCAGCGGTCACCACCTTGTAAGGTGGTGCCGCCAATGGCACCACCTCCTATCTGTGACCTTGATTAGATTGCTGAGTTTTTTTCAGAACATGCAAGATCTTTAACTACATTTTCCTTCTGAGATTTGTTCTTTGCATCTCTTGGATTTTTGTGCTCACACAAAAGGTGTCATTCAATCTCTTTTTTCCAGAAAAATCTCTACTAATACGAGGGCCGAAGTGTCCTCATGATGCATTTCACTGCTTTATTCACAGCTGCTTTTCTGATTCCGACTCTAACCGCCAATTTGGTGAGTACAGCGTTTTCCTTCTCTTCATCATACATTGAATTTGATCACAGACTCTGTTATGCAATTATAGAAGCATTTCGTTGAAGATCTTGTTATTGCTCATTTTAAATGTTTTACTTTCGCAACTGCTGAAGAAAAAAGATGTTGAGCAGTTTGCTGCTTTTGAGGTGACAAGTATAAGTCCTTTAAAAGTAAAACTTTGAAGGAAATCAGTATATCTTTTTTGTTATAGAAAAATACCACTAAAGCAAGATTTTGTGGCTTTTACTGAATTAAATTTGGTCGTATTTGATGCCCTTTATAATAGGCTGCAAAAAAGTTAAAATTTGCTACCGGTAAAAAGGATACTGCATTATATTTCGTGTTGACAGAGAGTTGGTCTTTTCAAATTCCGAAGACATATAACGATTAGACGTGAAGAAAATTCTTTGGACCCATTTCGAAACAGTAATACTTCATAGAGTTCTGACTTGCTTCCCTACAGATAGAGAATCTACAGCAGTTGATATGAGTCAATAGAGCTTTGATACCATAAAAAATCTAATCAGTTGATATGAATCAATAGAGCTTTGATACCATGTTCGAAATACGTTTCCAACTTGGTGACATTTGCCTATTTTTTTGATAAAAATTCGTAGCACATATGAAACAGCGATCTCAACTCATTTATTTGGTTGCGACGTAACAATTTCCTAATTTTAGCACTGATATCTTTTTATATGAATCTCCCACACTATGGAAAACCCTTTTTTTGGTTTCAGTACAGTTCTGGAATGTTTCTGGTGCGCATTTCATCAGAACGACGACATCGCATTCATTACTGCTTCACAGAACTACCGTATACCCTAGAAATGCACCAGAAGGGGCGATGTCTCAAGTCTGGCCAAGTTGATGTGGCCAGGCAAACTGAAAAAGTTATCGACTTACGGCTTATGAATGTGTCTACGGTATGTTTAGAAAATTTCTTTTAACCACAAATTATGAAGCTGTGATTTTAGGCCTACCTTACCTTAGAATTCACCGTACCAGCTAAAGGATTTGGTATGAATTGTTATTTATCCAGTAGAGGCAATGCACATGATTTTCTATTACAGGCCCACCCAAGAAAGTTGCAGAGCGGGTTATTGTCGATGGAGCTTTGCCAGCCAAACGCATAGCTGTCGGTGGACTGTTTATAAACTTCGTTACGATTTGTGACAGGTTACTCTTTTGAATTTTTACTTTACACTCACAAAGAACTTGATGATAATGACAATTTCTTCCATTGATGAGTGGTTTTGTTACTACTACAAACTTACAACAGCGCAAAAAATAACAAGAAGTCTTTTTATTTTTTTGCACACTTAAGTATCCCAGGGCTTTCCAAAACAACGACAAAAGATAATGGCTGTAAAACATAACTGAAATTTATGACAGTGATTATTCCTCTGATCCTAAGTAAGATGTGGTCATTTAAAAGTATAAACATGTTGGTCTCTATAAAAAACAGATTGAGCACTTTATGCAGTTTTCTTGCGTTCCAACACTTGGCAGAAACTGGAATGGCATGCAGAATCTGCAAATGTGCGCTAACTTTTTTCGGCGCGTTTTTGCCGTGCTGGGTTACTGTATCAGCACCAGCAGCTAGCAAGTCTGCTAAAGAATTTCCCGTAGTTCTGCTCAAGGCACATTTTGCTGTATTTTGAAAAATTCTGCTTCTCCTCCCCACCCTCTTTACCTTACAGCCCCAAACCCTAATTGAGCTGCTCTTTGATGCTTTCATAAGCCTACAAGAAACGTATATAAACCGCATTTGCAGATAGTTTAATGATCATGGCTTCATGTTTTGGTGAAGTGCAAAAATCACAAAATTGTCTTACTCATATCTTGTTATAAAAAGATTTGTAAAATATAGTCGCCATTCTAGACCTTGGTACGGCCTCATGTGCGCAAGATACTGTATCGAACATGAAAATGCTCATTATGTTTGCGATCCCCGTGGTGAAAAAGTGTGCCTAGTAGGATGGACTGGAACGGACTGCGATATTGGTATAGTTTTTGAGAAAAGTATTTTAGTCTTGAAAGATGAAGGGGCTTTGCAAGTTTCAGCAAAAGAAGCTATCTTTCCCATGCCATTTGAGACGACTGACGCTTCACCACCTCCAGCTCCACCACCTGAAAATCCTATACCAAGTACAAGTACTGGTAGGTTAACAACGGAAGTTTCTGGTAAGTTGCTTAATCACTCCATATTTCATTAATCATTGGTTTTGTCACATTGGTGGAAAAGTTTTGACGGCGCGGGGTTTGAGCGGGATCTTTGGAGTTGATGAGAAATGCTTCAGAAACTACTCTGTCTTTGTTTATTTTCCTGTGGCAGAAAAGCTCCACGCTAGCTTCAACTTATGAATCCTAGATGCGGATGAATTAAAAGCCTTGTATAATAAAATAATCGTAATATCGTTTTTAGGATCTGCAATCAAAGCGACTACCACAGTTATTAGCTCACTGTCCGGTGCAATCAAAGAAAAGAAAACAACAACTAGTGAGTGTACTTTTTCGTTTTGAAATAGTGGAATGAGTGACATAAGCTTCACAGTCAGTAATCTATCATATCTAAAGATAATACTGAAGTCGTACAACTGTAAAGATGACAAGTCGTCATTTTAGCGACTAACACCGCTATGACATCTACTACAGTTTCTACATCGCAAACAGTAATTACTAATTCAAAAACCACGGTGCCGCCCACCCGACAAGGTAACTCAAAAGATTTCTTTGGGCCCAAAGAATAGAGTATGCGAAGATTGAAGCACAAATTTGCTATGAATGACTAGAGGTGAGCTGTGATTGAGATGTTCCAGGTCCTACAAGCAGGAAAGAATCTTCACTTAAAACCTACGCAATGCGGAACCCATCCACTGTCAGAGATTCAACTACGAGTTCCACTGAAGAAATTGGTAAGATACTCATCAAATTTTTGCGCTTTTCATCACATTAATCGCTTTCAGTTTTGCTGATTATTTTACCCGTCATCGCACTGATTCTACTCGGCTATCTGCTCATTGTACTTGCTCGTCATTCTTCAGTGCAGAATTGGATTAACTCACAAAAGGCGAAAATTTTTGCATCAAGTTGTTCGACAAGAAGTGATGAGGAGGTGGAGGAGGAGACCTTGCCAAAGGTTCGTTATTCTACGTACTATCGATGAAAAAAGAATAGAATTATAGTCGTTCGCAAAACCTATTTATTCAAAGCGGCTGAATTTTTAGTGGCCACACTGAATCTTTTATCACACCGGAAAAAAAAATTCGAAACAATCCATTGTATTCAAAAACTTTGTATAATTTTCTTCTTAATCATAAGCTAGGGAAAATACGAATCAACTCAACCATTTCATAAAGAACAAGTGACTAATTTACTGCGCAACTCATTATGCGAGTACATTAATCATTCATAAATTATCTACAGTTTTCGTTTCTTGAGAACAATATCCTTAGCAACAAGAATATGAGAAAATTAGTAGCTACAGAATTGCAAGGTGGATGAATACAAATATCCCAAGTTGTTGGAGTCTAGCTTTTCGACAAGTAGCAGTAGCTAAATTTCTCTTACCATTAGTAGCCAAATCTCTCAAATTTATACTGAATTCACGATTCATTATTGAAAAGATTGAAACAAATCTGGATAAGCCTTTCTGAAAATCTAAAACTCGAGAATTTGTCTAACCTTTTTCTAGGCGATGGCCGTGACAAGATCTATTTTCAAATTTATACTACCGACATGTAATTTCACTACTCAGCATTAGAGTGCGTAAATTTGAATTCACATGCGCAACTCTATTTCCAGGTCTTCGCTATTGACATAAACAAGAACAGCAAGAAAATAGAAACCTTCGATTCATCCGAAAAGCTCGGTCCTCGTTATTCGTCCCAGCCAACGTCAGGCGCCACCAGGGATACGTCGACACACGACGTGAGCGTGGTCGAGTCGAATATGTACCATGAAATCGACTCGTTTCTCGTCCCCCCAGTTGTGGACCTACGGATCGCTACTTTGGTCTAATAAAGGGCATATGGCCAGCCTAGTAATGTTAAAGACAGCTGGGACATCAGCGAAAATCTTTCGAGTAGGTCGATTGCGCGAAAAATACAAAATTATCGTACTTCTCCCGGTTTAAAATGTCCCGGTTGTCTCAAGAACTAGTCAGGCCTATGCTGGACGTTAATGTTTAGAAATATATTTGTATTTTACAGTTCTATCAATATATTAGCATGCTGACAGTAAGTTTGTAATAATGCATGTCAATCAACGAAAAATTGTCTTTTTTTTCACGGGTTCTCATCTCACTTTTAAAGTGAATAGCGCATTTCTTTATTACTGTCACTCTGTCATTGTTCTCACCCGTCATTGTCACACCATTCCACTTTCCTCCTACATTGTTTATCCTTTGAGACATGCACATTATTGTTTTAAGCATAGATATTGCACAGAATGTGCCTTCCTGGTTCTGCTGTTCGTAAAGTAACTCACTTTTGATAATCTCTTCCTTATTTTGAAAAGCCAGCAATTGACCAGGATATGTTGATCTCACCGAGGCATGTTTTATGTTTTATATATGTATGTACAGCAATTTAATTCCAACTCATGTGTACCTGCGTTGGAGAAATAAAAGTAAACGAAGTTTCTTCTAACAACGCACTGACTTCCTTTGCCCTACCAAGGAGAATATAAACGAGCACATTGAACAGTTGCAATAATACAAGGGTAGATAAATCCATCACCAGTGGCGGACTGAGAGTGTGGGAGCCGAGAACGAATAGCAAAATATTCGAAAGTTATTCACATAAGTGATAAAAACAAATGACTTGTTACCAAAGTCAAAATAATTTTCAAAATTTTTGAAAATTTAGCTGAACTCTGTAAAAAAATTCCCGAACTGAAATTCTAGGATCGCCACTAATAGTATGGGTGGAGCGTTATAGTACGGCAGTAAGGCAAAGAATAAACTGAAGGTTGCATCAGAGTTTTTGACTTGGGTTCATTCCTTCTTGTTTTCTGTTCTTAATGAGGCAAAATAACAAATCCCAACACCTTACAGAAAACATTTTTTTGGCCTTATAAAAAAACATGTAAAAAATATTCCCCAGAAAAAATAATGTGTAACAGTTATATCCTGGAAAACCCTCTTTGTGATGTAGTGCAAACGAGTTAATTGAATTACCTGACCGTTTTTTTAACAAAAAATTGTGGATGTGACAGGTCGAATTGGCGCCTAAGGCACAGTGCAAGACAGGAGGTACCCTTAAAAACTGGAGGGGAAAATATTGGGTTGCCTCAGAGACTTTTGTTATTTTCTGAACGTTTGTAAAACCCGCATAATGAAGATAGAAAGACGTTCAGATATGCATTTCGGTGCAGCGTTTTTTAATTTTAATAGTCACGTTTTCGAGCCATCTTCTGAACACTTTTTGATAACTGCCAAAATTCTTTATTCACTATTTCTACATGCTAAGTTCGGCTCATTTTCAAAATTTCACTTTGAAGTTCTGGAAAAAACTAACTTAGATTCAAGTAGAGCAAATGCAGACTACGCGATAGTGCCTTCAGGTTCTTTTGAATTGCTAATTGGAGCCTCAAAAAATTAAGTTTTGGAGATCCCAATTTTTGGTAAGCTATAAAAGATACTGAAGCGAAAACCGAAATCGAAGTTTTCGCGAATTGAAGTTTGATTGTTATTCAACATCGTTGGTGAAAAATAATCAAGTTTTAGCTTTGATTGGCGTCCCCGCTAACCTGCTCGAAAAGCCCTGGTTATAACATTACAGGGACAGCCCCTAGACAGAATGATAATATTGCTATCAGAAATGGATAAATAGCTGAATAATCCAGGAACAGGAATCCGAGCAGTTCGTGTTCTGTAAGTATTAGTGACCGATCAAAAACGATAAAAGGTTTCGGACAGTGTAATAACCATTATAAATCGAGGGTGCATAGTCCTCACTCACACTAATCTTCCGATAGAAGCTCTTCTTGCACAGCTTTGGTATGGCACGTTATAAAAAGACCGTTATGCCAAAAGAGGGGCAATCTTTGCAATCTTTGAATAGGAAAATTATGCATAAAAACGGAAAGAAATGCTGTAGTCTGCACTAATACTTTGGAAGGCGCTTTTTTTCGACCGACTTTTGAAGATAGATTAGTGGAAGTTTTGATAGATGGAAGTTTGATCAAAAGCGCTATCATTTCATGTTGATTAGTAAATAGCTAGCATTTTCTGTAGTTAAGACCAATGTCTTACTAACCCTCTCGCGAGTAGCTAAACCTTCAGCTATGATGACCTCACTACTTGGACTGATTTCAGAGGCCACTGCGCCAGTTACTGACATGGTAAGCCCTATTTGAGTGTGAGGATGAAGCCCAAAAATGTTACGCAGAGAACTCGTATCCCGATTCCATATTGTGCTATGGATCCATGGATCTTCATGGAAATTGGATACAAAGGCGGGCCAATCATCGATAGGTTGTAGCATTTTTTGCTGAACTGACAGCGTTTGAAATGGCCTTCTCAGATTAGAAGCCCGACTCGACCGGAAAGCCAGTTATCAACTGGTTCAAAATTTTGTAAATTTGTGTAGAGGCGATGGTCCAAGATATGAAACAAGTTGGTCAACTTATTTGGGAGTTGACTAAATCTTGCTATCAATGACTTTATTGAGAATTTCGCACAAGTTTTGAAGGTGCACCTTTATACGCCATAGATTCGGAAAGAGGAATAATTTCTTCTGGTGATTATAGGGTAAGTCATTCTTTTTACATCCTTTTCAAAAATTAGGTACAACGGTTCACGATTCGCAGAAAAGCAAAAATGCAGCAACTGCTTCGTAAAACCTACACTTAGTGTACGGTGCAAATTTGCAGAAGAATTTTCTTTCTTTTCGACACAGATAGTACAACTAAAAAAGGAAAAACACCTCTCAAAAAATTTTTCAAAATCTTTTCGCCACTCCTATCATTTATTTTCAATTAAAAACGTTCTTATTAGGCTTGTAGACATTTTTTGAAGCATACTCGGTTAGCCGGAAAAGTTTCTACCCCTCCCCCCCCCTTACCTCCCCAAATATCTCGTACCGCTGCATAAATTATAGTTCAAAAATGGATGCGGCGGCCGTGCTGCTACACTATCTGGAATAGTAAAGGAAACAGATGTAAGGACAGGACCTGGCAGGTATTGTAACCTACTTTCTAAATTTAAAGAAATTTACATGATTATTGTACTTTACCTATTTCAGTTCCGGTTCTATTGTAATGCTGCCTCTGGAAAATGATCCTACAGCGTATAATTCAATTTTTTGTATACTCACCAATGATACACCCTTTGTTGAAGGAAAAGTTATAGGAAACATCAATAAAGGTGCTTTTTTCACTACGAATCTGTTTTTCTAGCATAGTACCATATTTTGTAGGTTTTGACTCTCTCAAGTACATAATTTGGAAATTCGGCTCCCCTAGTGGTATACCAAAGGAAACCATAGAGATACAAGCATGTGGACAAATGTGAACCAACACAAATGACTTGATTAATCTTATGTTCTGCTAATGCAAGGACTCAACAACATATTCATATGACCCCAATTTTTATCAACTTACAAAGTTCATTGATATAATTTTTCATGCTCTCCATTCTGCTGCAGTTTAAGATACTATCTACACCGTTGAACGTGCTTTTACAAAAATGATTGTGAAAATTGCTTCATAATTGTTTCAAATTTTTACAGGTGCTATACGCAGCTATTAGGTTGGTGAGAAAGTCGGCATTGCTAGAGGAAGTTTCCTTGAAGTACTAAATGAAGCATGCAGCAATTCGTGAAATATGCCAAAGCAAACTCTACAACATTGTACCAAGCTTGAATATTATCAGTGACTTTTACAAGAATGGAAGCCAAAATGTGAAATAAGATTTCGTTCGAATTTAAGTTCCCTCCCTCTACGAGCTATGACCAGGGCTCGGCGCAGGTGGCTTACAAGCAAGCTGGATATCGTTTTTGGGACAAAAAGCAAAGGGGGTTTCGTTTTTGTGACCGAAGAGAGACGCAAAATTGGCAACGTTTTTTTTAGTCGACGTTTCGTTTTTTGGGGGATTTTGGGGAATTTTTCAGGTTTTTAGAGGAAATTTAGTTGAGGGTCAAAGGGAACTTCGTAAAAATTCCCAAAAGTCAAGGAGGACTTCGTTTTTTCCATTTTCATCTAGCCACCTCGTGCCGAGCCCTGGTTACGACATTCACATGCTTCAATATACAGCAGACCTACCTTGATACCAGTTGCAGTCCCAAGGATTTCCGTCCGGAGGAAGAGGCGGCAAAATTTTTTTTAAATGAAGGTGCGTGCTCTTGGCCACGCTTTGAAAATTTTTTTGGGGCGCTCTTAAAATTTTTAGCTGGCGCATAACCCCTGAAGTCTAAAAAAAGGGGCGTGGCTGTCTATGCCCCCGAAAGTTTTATTACAAAGCTAATTTGAATTTTTATAAATTTCCAGAAATTATTTTCAATTATTCAGGAATAAACAAGTCACTTGCACATTTTTACAGCCTATGTATAGGGCTAATCAAATTGGGTGTCGTTTGCACAGCATCTCTATCTTCGCGCTGGGCTCTGCGTCTCTTCTGCGGTACATGCTCCCTAATCACTTCCAATCGATTGATGCTCCTCCTTTCCCACGCTCGCCCTGGGAAAGTGCTTAGAGAGCAGCCCTGCGGAAGAGACGCAGACTCCAGCGCGAAGATGGAGATGCCGGTGCAAACGACACTCAATTTGATAAGCCCTATAAGTATTTATATTATTATATTATATTTATTGCAGAGGAAGTGCGCCTTTACAAATCATGGAATACAATTAATACTCATTCAAAGAGCAACAAAGAAGTAAACATAAGACAGAAACCTGAAATAATTATTTTTGGAAGAAAGAAAAATGTCCTCAGATAACAGCCGCACTCAGTTTTGGAAGTCAGTCTGACACTACCCACCAATATGACATGACATCGGAATCATAGCATGTAAAATTGACTACTTTGAATAGTTTTTACTTTTCTGACTTTGGGTACCGTGTATAAATCAGGCTTGATCACTTTCGCTTT